CAATAAATAAATATTTAAGAAAACAAAGCGTGGAGTCAGGAGAAGCCTGGCCTGGGCCTGATACCACAAGGAGTTCTAGAACTTGCGTTGTACCACACGGGTTGTCCTGCCCTGAAAGTAGGAGGCTGGGCTGCCATCCCCCAACCCCACCCCCTCCCCACATCCATCAGTCATTAGTCATAAGCAACCACCAAGAAAGCAGGGAAGCTGGCTGAGCTCAACTCCCCAGGCACCTCCAGGTAAGGCAGCTCCGTCAACGCAGGGGAAGCCTCCAGAAAGTGGTACGGGGTGAGCTCTGAGCATCCAATCCTTTTGGTAGGTGGAGGTGGGGATACTTCCCCCCCTAGTGGGATCTGAATGGGGTACGAGCAGCAGTGGAAACCGTCCCACAGCCAGAAGTGGACAGGGAGACAGCAGCAGTGGGTGTCTGTGGACCGGCTCAAAACCCGTTTTGGTGTCTCTCCTAAAATCCTAAATGCTTTTCACCACTGAGCCACATCCCCACAGAGTTTATAGTTTTTACCTACTTTAGCCCACTGAATACTGCCCCCCCTACCCCAAAACAGAATCAAGGAAATATCAGCCCACTTATATCGAGAAGGAAGTTGAGGTTCTGAGAATTTGAACCCAAGGCCACATCACATGTCCGATACTCGGCGAGGTCGGGACACCCACGGGCACGGCGCTCCTGGCTCTAAATGCTTTTTCTCTCGGGTGACCTAACGGGGACTTGGAGAAAAAGGAGTGAAGATCTCGATATGAGCACGAATGGAAGGACCGAGGCCATTTCCTACATCTAAATATTTCAGCCAAGCAACTCAAAGTTCCGGTGAGCGTTTGTACCTGTGGTTCTCACTGCTTGTTTGCCATTTGGAGAGCTCTGCTGGGGTTGCTCTGTGTTAGCGGGAAGGAGCCTGCTTTAGCATGGGCCCCTTGTATCAACTCCCCAGCCACTCTTTTTTTTTTTTTTTTTTTTTATTTTATTTATTTTGAGAGAGAGAGCCCCAGAGCAAGGGAGCTGGGGTGCGGCAGAGAGAGACGGGGAGCCTGATGCGCGAACTCACGAACCATGGGATCCTGACCTGAGCCGAAATCGAGTCAGACGCTTAACCGACAGAGACACCCAGGGGCCCCAGCCAGCCTCTCTTTTGTTTGAGGACCTCCCGGTACCACCCTATCTGTGCATCGTCACATCCTGAGGGCCCGTGATTTCTCTTACATGTTCTGCTCTGCGTAATAGACGGATGTTTGTGCCTTACTTCTTCCTCCCTTCACCCAAGATTTCACGGGCCACAAAGTAGTACAGCGAGGTCATCGGAGACTAAGTTCCAGTTGTAACAATCAGTTTCAGGCTCTGACATCCTGGGCAAGCCCTTCAAGGTCTGAATTTGAGTTTTCCTCCTCTGTAAAAATAGCACAATGGTATTTCCTACTTCTTGGAACTGTTCTGTGGATTAGAAGCAACGCATTTAAAATACCAAGCACAGGGGCGCCTGAGTGGCTCAGTCGGTTGAGCATCCGACTTCGGCTCAGGTCATGATCTCATGGTTCGTGAGTTTGAGCCCCGCGTCGGGCTCTGTGCTGACAGTTTGGAGCCTGGAGCCTGCTTCGGATTCTGTGTCTCCCTCTCTCTCTGCCCCTCCCCTGCTTGCACTCTGTCTCTTGCATTGTCTCAAAAAGAAACATCTTTAAAAAATTTTAAAAATAAAGAAAATACCAAGCACAGAGTGGGTGTGCAATAAATGAGAGTTATTTTTCTGGGACAGATACACCCGTGCAGGGGACTGAGCTACACGGGTGGCTGCAGAGAAAGCTTCTGCCGCTCGGAAAGCAGATGTCGAGGCCATAAGTGCGTGATGCATAGTGAGCCGTCAATGTGTTTAAAGTCTGTTGCTCACCTCCCCTTCCTCTTTTCCCCTCCCCATCACCGCTGCCTGGATTCCTCAAGCTGCCCTTGTCCAAAATGCCTTGCTTTGGTTACATCTGTTGCCTTCCATGAATCCTTCACAGAAGCTTTTCCTCGCAAAGACCAGGGGGCCTGTGGCCCAGGAGTTAAGTGATTATGCCCTTTGGGGATGCTCCTTTTTCTCTTCCTCCTCCCGAGTAGTGGCATTTGGAGACACGCCTCTGCCATCTGTCTCTCGCCTTCTGTTGAGGACCCTCAACGCCACGCTTCCCATCTCCGGGACCACGATACCCCCAGAGAGAGCGAACGAAGGCAGGTCCGTTTCTTACACCTGTTTCCGTCTCTCTGTAACGGGGCCTGCTGACTCCTCCCAGGGATGTTCCCGAATGATAGGAAAAAGGGCGGAACATACTGCACTGGCCAGTCCCCACACAGCTAGGTGTCCTTCTCCTTCCTTCCTAGCCCCTCCATGCTTTTTATTTAAACCCACAACAGTTAATGACAATTAGTTCCTGTTGCACTGTCTGTTACGCTCCTGAGGCTTAATCCCATGCGAAGCACACAGTAGGTCTCAAAAGAAAAGTCGAATTTTAGCGAACACTTGAATTCTTGGTGGTGATCTTGGATCCCACGCCTCTATACGGCAGTCACCCAGGGCTATGGACTCTGCGACATCTCCCTTTAGGTGAGTACTAGTCTCCCAGGATTCAAAGGGCAAGCCACCCTGTATTCAGAGGCACATCATCATTTTTGCTAGATTAGCGCATTTTTAGGCTGTGAGCTGGTAGCTAAATACTGTCCGTGGGATTCTGGCGCTATCTGATTCCTGGAGGAAGGGAGGGGGCAGGGGCTGTCCTGACTCAAGTGCAGCGAATTTTCCAAATACAATAGCTGGGGCCCTGCTCAGCTGTTCCCAACTGCCTCTGGATGGCCCCACCTAGAGGCTTCCCGGGAACAGGGGCTGTCCTGACTCAAGTGCAGCGAATTTTCCAAATACGATGGCTGGGGCCCTGCTCAGCTGTTCCCAGCTGCCTCTGGATGGCCCCACCTAGAGGCTTCCCAGGATCAGGGGCTCATCTGGCTCCTGGAGTATTGCATTTGTGCCCCTAGGAAGGCGGGCCCAGGTCCAGGGTGGGGGCCTCCTCTGACTCTGGGAAGGCTCAGGTGAGATGGAAGGGCCCAGGCTACTGGAGTGATGGTTCCTTCCTCCTTGTACTTTCCAAACAACTGGCTGGGGTTCTGCCATAAGTGGCAGAAAACCACCAGGACCCCTGGCCCCTTGTCCATGGTAGACCTACCTCCATGCTCAGTCAAGACCCCACACCCAAATCAACAATTACTGAATTTGTACCCACATATCCACCCCCTACCAGGAACTGCTGGCCTGAGCCCCTAGATCATGTCACCAACACTCAGTCCCTCCCTTGTACCCATCACCTCTGGTCCCAACACTGCATGGTTTCAAGCATACCATCCCCATTAGGGTACAGGCTTCCATAGCTATTTTGCAAGAAAAAAAAACAAAACTCACACTGGAGTCTCCACATCAAATTCCTGGGCAATCTTGAAAACTCACGACCTCTCTGGATGTCTCTACTCTTTAGTTCTTTATTTAAAATAAAATTTAAAAAAAAGTGTTTATTTATGTCTGAGAGAGAGAGAGAGAGAGAGAGTATAAGCCGGGGAGGGGCAGAGAGGGAGACACAGAATCTGAAGCAGACTCCAGGCCACCCGCACAGAGCCTGATGTGGGGCTCGAACTCACGAACCACAAGATCATGACCTAAGCTGAAGTCGGATGCTCAGCCTCCGTACTCTTTAGTTTTTAATAGGTGTGAAAACAGCAAGATCCAGCAATGTGTTACAGAAGGAAGCCCTCTCTCCTTGCAAAGTACCCTGTCAAAGTCAAGTCGGCTATGAATATTTTGGCCACCCCCTCTGGGAGTTGGTTGTTTAATGGCAATCTTAATGGGTTCTGAAGAGGAAGGCGGTCGGTCTCTCCACTGTCCCTGCAGGGCCAGGGGTGGGGCAAGGGCCACCTCAAGGTCGGGCCAGGCTGCAGCTGCCACAGCTAATAAGGTGACTCACTTCCCTGATAACGCGGCTGAGGAAAGTGCAGGCTATCTCTTGTCCCTTTCCTTTGGCTCAGGCACACCTCTTGAGGCGGAAGACGTTTGGCACCAGGGAAGGAATGTGTCAGGTCAAGTCAGGAAGAGCTGTCTCTGAGTCTGGGCCTTTCCTTTGCAGTTCAGAAAGACTAGAGTAGGAAAAAACCAAAACACCCGAAATCTGTGCTTTGGCTCTCAGTGGACTCCAAGCCTTGGCTTGGAGTCAACGTGACCTTGGCAAGTTCCTTATCTTCCCTGGGCCTATTTCTTCCGCCTTGAACTCCTGGCCATAATAATTCCTACTTCCTGGGGCTGTTTGGGGGAGAACTTTCAAGGAGCGCCGATCTAGAACGTCCATTTCACTCTGCTGCCTTAAATACAAACTTTGTCAGGAAACGGGTGTATTTTGCTTCTTTGTAGTTTTTGTTTTACATAATGATTATGTTTTCTTTTCCTAGTAAGAAAAAACAACCCACGTATTTAATCCTGTAAAAGGCTGACCCAATAAAGAGCACATGAGAAAACCGGGACTGGGGGGGGGGGGGGGGAGCTTGTGTGATCACATCCAACAGGCCAGCTGTTCAGAAGCAGAAGTGAAAGTGAAATCAGGCCTCTCTCCTGTAGGGACAGGTACAAGGACTTCTTCCTTACACATCGCCACCCGCATGGGGCGTTTCTTTTTGCAGTCGTGACCCTTGGGGTTTAAATCTCCCTTCCATTTAAGGATTACACACTCAGAGTTGAGTTTTAAAACACACACGTATTTCTGTCTCTGTGCGTAGGGAATAGGCATCTATAAATGGATATTGATCATTCAGGAAATAGACGAAGCTTTCAACCTAAGCAAACGTCTACACCATTAGGTGGCTTTTTCACAGCACCTACAAGATGGGAACACGCACACTTTGCAACTTCTCTTTTCTGAGTTTCCGGAGACCCCTTGGCACGTGGGGCCAAGCACACAGCCCCAAGACCATGCTGAAGGCCAACGGTTTAATCCCCTTTATTGTGTCGTTTTGCCCATTGCTGAGCTCAGAAACGGATGCAAGCACTCTTTGAGGCAGAGATGTGTAACAGGGAGCCTCTTGCGGGTATTAACGACTCTTCCAGTCTTAATATTGCTTTGTCCACGCGGAGTCTACGGGGGTTAAAAAAAAAAAAAAAAATCCACACTCCGGAACCTGCTGTCAAGAATGGGCGAACCTGAAACCTCCAGAAAATAACAGGGGATATCTCAGTGAAGACAGATCTCACAATGCAAGTAAAAAATAAATCTGATGGCCACAGCGAGACATTAAAAATTAAAAAGAACAATGAAGAAAAGAGAGGGCAAGAGAGAAGCATAATTGCCATGAAAAACATTTCTTTTTAAAGTAACAAAGGAATATATAGATCTTGCAACGAATATAACACAGACAGCTATTTTGAGTCGGGGCAAGTTAATCATATTCAAAAAAGACAGGGTCTCCAGATTTCTGTGGTTTTTTTTTTTTTGTTGCTTTTTTTTTTTTTTTGCAGTGAAATAGTTTAGTTCCTTCATATAGAGACATATTACACAATGTTAACAACCATGAAAAACAATACAAAATGCCCTCAATTTACCAAGTAGAAAAATATAACTAGTATATATGGCAATTGTGAATCTAATACTGTACAGAAGTAATTTATGGACTTTACAAATAAATTATAGCTTAAATGCCCTTTTAAAATTCTTCTTTTTCTCTCTCTCCCCCAGACGTACACCAGAACTTACAACGGGAAAGGTTCCGAGCCTCACTTTATTGCTAATCAGTGCCAGTCAAATGTCCGGCCGACAAGCTCGAAGAATTTCTTATTTGGCTCGTGAAAGTATTCGTGCAGTTTACTGAGGAGTCTGGGGTCCACTCGGGGGTGCGCCCGGCCTTTGGACTCGTGCAAGCAGCGGTCCCGGCCGCTGTCCCGCAGGCAGTAAAAGCCCTTGGTTTTGTTAAAGTAGAAGTTCGAGGCGTTGATCTGCGGCGACAGCTTCAGGAACCGCTCGACCTTCTGGATCTCGGGGAAGGGGTCCCTGATGAGGCGGTCGCCGTCGACGATGTGGATGCGGCGCAGCGGGAAGAAGCGCAGCCAGTTGTGCAGGTGCACGTGGTAGAGGCTGCGGTTGAGCGCCTTGTAGCCCACGTTGAGCCGGCCGTCGCGCACCAGGAACTCCTCGATGGACGGGTAGGGCTTGCGCTTCTGCACGTGGTTGTAGAACACTTGGGTGTAGTCGGACAGCACGCGCTCGGACGGGTCGCGCAGGATGAGCAGCAGCCGGATGCCCGGGTTCATGCTGTGGACGCGCTCAGGCACTTTGGGCGACGTGAAGTACGCGGGGGTCTTCTCCACCGTGAGCTGCTGCGGGGACGAGAAGGGCATCTGGCCCCGGTACCAGCCCAGGCCTTGGCTGTAGTGCTCCTCCCAGTCGAAGAAGTGGACCTCGTTCTCGGCGGCCGCCACGTCGGGGTGCAGGCTGAGCATCTCCAGCAGCGCGCGCGTGCCGCCCTTGCGCACGCCGATGATGATGGTCTGCGGCAGCTGCTGCGCCGAGCCGTTGGGGGGCGCGCCGTCCCGGCCGTCGCCCTGGA